GAAATTTTACATATGTGTGATATATTCTTATGTGTGTTTCCCTGTTAGGTCTTTATCGGAGCCTTAAGTTTGAGAGGGCTCTTCGGTGCTCTTCCGTGCCAGGAGTACCAGGAGATGCCGTCCTGTGGAAGCTATGGCCATCCTCAGATTTGCCGCAGACCTTGCATCTTGTTCTTGCGCGGCACCTGCAAAAGGTCCGGCGATTGTGGTTTTTGCCATCTTCCACACGAGCCTTGATACAACACGCCAAAAAGAAACACTATGATCGTTTTGTTCCAGGGTATCCTGCATCTTAAGATGCATGGTATGAGTGAAATCTGCATATGACATTTCTGAATGGTGCGCTATGTTTTTCCCAGTCGCACAGTTTTCCAGTCTTTCGAAATAAACAATTCTTGAGGAAGCGAGAACAGCGTCCTTCGACAAGCAACAGCGGGAGTTTTTGAAGTCTCTCCCTGCGGTTACGGTCATGGAGATGCTGTTGCCATATGTCCGCAAGCAAGTGGAGGCTCACCAACGGGTGCCCCAGGAATCATGTTGGTATTGGTTTGTATATGGAGATCTACCCCAAAATTGGTTTATTTCTGGTCGGAAATTACCGATGTAGTGTATGAGGTATACAGTAATGAGCAGAGAAAGATTTGGTTCTGGTGAAAGCTACTGTTTACCGTTTTACAAGAGATTTTATGTTGCATATCATTGAAAACCACGCCCACATCTACCATAGTAAGCAGATTGAAACGTAATCGTTAAATTTGGGCATTGAGGAATCCAAGGATCCACTCGCCAAATGGGCCTTTGTTCGTTTGGGCCTCTTTTTTTCGAGCCCTATTTGGGTCAACGCCATCCTCCAGGACAATGCTCTTCCCGGTGCTGGCGTTTTGCTTCAACTTTTCATCAGCGAGATTTCCATCCGTGAACACCAAAGTCGCACCCGCACTCCGCGCACTCCGTGGCGTGTTCGCTGTGTGTTGGAGCGCCTCAGTCTGTCCGGGCTGGTGGCTGTGGCCTGCGGCGCGATCCGTGGCCGTTTCCCGAAGCTCTTGTGCAATGAGCTGACGAAGCTAAGGGAAATGGCAAAAGACCTGGCTGAAGCTTAGGACCATAGGATCCTAGGACTTGGCTAGAGATGGTCCTTGTGTTGCAGTTCCCAAAGACAAATTTAGGGCGGAAAGATCATGAATGGAATCTTGATTTATCTTGATTTAGTGTTTAGGAATGTTTAGGCATGTTTAGGAATCCAGGGGGGTGTTTGGCATTGGAATTTGAAGTTGATTGTTCTTCAAAGGGGTGGATCCTTATCTGGGCTCTTCCCAGAGATGCATTTCTCCCGGGGGTCTGATCCCTGATTCAATATGCAAAATAGGTCATGTTTGGTCGAATGCTTTACGACTTGATCCATCTCTGTTTGAAGATTGAAGTCTTGCGAATTATTCAAGGCGCCAGGCAGTGATTTGTACACGACAAGCTTCGGAGTGTGTTATTTTAGGATGGTACTCGTCTTGAAGTCATTTGGGCAAGCTATGACGGAATGAACACAAGGACAGAATTGACAGGCTGACCACCTCAATGTGATCGGTCCCGTGTAGTGTCAAAAGAAGTAGTGTTCCTGTGATGATATGTGATTTGCTAAGTGTGTTGTTAGGTGGCTCACGAGATCCTGTAGGATCCGTGTTTTGCACCGTGGAATTAGTGAAGCCGAATTAAGTTCTGATATCATCAGACCCGATATGAGAGCATCCTATCACTTCCTGGACGGCTCGCAACTTCCGTTTTGTCTACCAAGGCAAATGTTTCAAGAAGAGCACACCTTTTCATATCAAATATAATTACAATTCACTATATGTATATATATATATATATTTATGCATATTTATATATAATACATGTGTTGCCCTAAGAATATGTGCACATATCATCAAATGTCAAACATTTTCCAGTCATACGCGGTATGATCAGTAGTGACGTGACTTCGCATATCTTTAGCCCAAAAGAATCAACGTTCGGTATTTGCATATTTTCTCAAGTCTCACAAAATGAAGAAAATGCATGCAATTGCTCGAAAAAAAAGCGACTTATGTTGACTTGGGGCGATTCTAATTATACAGCAATTAACCAGAGAAAATTCCAGAAAATATTGATAGAACAAACAATAAACAGGTGTCTGTTTTTCAACTCACAGTAGCGTGGGTTCGGCTAATCTTGGCATCGAACAGAGAAGGGCGTAACGACAAAAAATCCAGACAGCAAGGGCCAGTCACTGGAAAGTATTTAGCAGTGGGTATATGTGACACTTTGATGAATTTATACCTATTTTGAGTTATAATATATATATATATACACATACATACATACATGCATGCATGCATGCATGCATGCATACATACATACATACATACATACAACGGACATGTTGTATTTATATATGGACACGTTGTATTTATATAATGTCGTACAACATGCGTCTCATACTCCCGTGGATGTATATATACATATTATCCACATGACACCTTTGTGAAGTGCGGCAAAAGGTTGGCTCTTGGCCTTGATTTTGGCCCTGATTTTGAAGGATATAATTGCAAACTCCTACAATTTGCTTTGCAGCCTGATGGCATGAAGCGTATGCCTCAAGTGTTCTCTGTTCCGGTGGACTGTCAGTGCCAGGTCAAACTATTTGAGGCAACACTGCCAAGCCAGGGTCGAGATTTCAAGCTGGTGAACCATCTATCTTTGAATTGTATACATATACATAAATACAGATATAATTATTTATATATATATATATATGTATGTATATATATATATGCATGTATATGTTGTGAATCTTCCACAGTTTGTGCCCACACTTACACTCAGGTCTTCCCATCAACTGCCAGGGAAACGATTGCATTCATTCCCCCGCCTGGCTTAAGGGGTGGGTTGCGGCCCGGCATGAGCCTTTTGGAGGTGGCGGCAACAGAGGCCTTTTGATGCAGGTGGCTACTTGGTGTTTGGAAGCGGGGCTGCTTTAACACCGGCAGCGGAGCCCTGCGGGGCGTCTGCAACTTGGAGAAGAAAGAGGTGGACCTCTCAAAGCCTGAGAAGTACCTGGTGTGGACATCAGCGGTGAATCTCCTGGGGTAGGGGATCAAGGATGTCTGAAGGTGCAGCTGCATCTTCAGGTGGAGAAGAAAAGGGCAATGCTCTGTGGAATCTTCTCCCCAGTTTTGACCCAACGGCGGACAATGCCAAGGAGTACACCGACAAGGTGAATTTCCTATGGGGCATTTGCCCGCAAAGTCAAAGGGTATGCTTGCTCCCAGTCTAGCCCTTCTGTGCAAAGGGGCGGCGTGGTCAGAGGTCAAGAGCATCGCTCCTGAGCTGCCCACGAGTCCTGAAGAAGGTGTGAAGAACCTCCTCAAGGCCTTGGAGGTGTGGCAAGAGTCAGCAGAACTTCGAACCTATGATCAATTTGAGACAGCGTTCTACAAGATCACCCAAAAGAATGACGAGAGCGTCATCTCCTTCGTGAGCTGGCTGAATGTGGCCTTCACCGAGGTTGGCGAGGAGATAAATTTGAAGCAAGTGAAAGCATTCGTGCTTTTGAGGCAGAGCAACTTGCCACCCGAAGACAAACGTCGGGTGATTGCTATGGCTGATGGATACAACCCCAACAAAGTGGAAAATGCTATGCGAGCACTTGCTGCCAAAGTCCTAGGAGGAAATGAAGGTAACAAGGCCAAGATCTACCCGGTGAACCATGTGGATGATGAGGTCAAGGAGGCCTACTACATGCATGATGAAGAGATGGACGAGGACCAGGCCTTGTCTGTTCTTCTTGAAGAAGGTGATGAGTCAGCTCTCATAGTAGCTGACTTTGAGGATCAAGTTGTCCAAGTCTGCCAAGACTCTCCTGAGCTCTCCATGGCCTTCTCCGCCTACCAAGATGCCAGAGCCCGTTTGCGTGACAAAGCGAGAAGCAGAGGCTTTTGGCCACTGAAAACCTCTATGAAAGGAAAAGGGAAGAACAAAAAAGGAAAAGGCGTCTTCAGAAAGCGTCAGTCGTTGGCGGAGCGCATTGCTTCCAGCAATTGCCGCCAGTGCGGCGCCAAGGGCCACTGGAAGGATGAGTGCCCTGCCAGGAACCAGGTCCCTGAAAAATGAATGTGAGGGCTCGGGCGATTTAGGTCCCGATGGAACAGGCATCATCGACACTGGAGCCAGTAAGTCAGTGATCGGTGAAAACTTGTGAGTTCGCTGTTGCAATCCCTTCATGAAAATCATCGATCTCAAGTGAAATGGTATCCTTCTGAGACTGTCTTTCGTTTTGGTAACCATGGCATTCTTCGAAGTATTGGTGCTCTGTTTGTTCCTTTTGGAGACATGTGGATGAAAATTGAGGTCGTTAAGGGATCAACACCATTTCTTATATCCAATGCTTTCCTTCATTGTCATGCGCTTCATGCTGACCTGCTTGTTAGCCAGTCCTGCCTCAGGGTTCCGACATGGAAAAACGATGTTAAACTGAACCGGAATTCCAAGGGTTTGTTCATTGTCAAATTGTCGGAACTATTGGATGCAGCAGGGACACAGGTAGGTAATTCTTTGCAGGAGGAAGTGATCACACTATCTAGCAGTTTGCATCAAGGCGAAGGTAAGGTGAACAAACAAGCACTGCAGCAGCAGCCTTCGTTGGTGCTTCACGGCAGCGAGAATTTGAATACGGAAGCTGAAGCGGCTCAATCAAGGCCTTCAACCTGCTCAGTGTGCGCCAAGTTGTCTCCCAGAATCCCCGGCGCCCAGACTAGGAGTCAGTGGACTGGGAAGTGCTCTCTCGAACCATGTCGGATCGAGAGGGTCCCTCAAGCCCTCCACCAGTGGCAAGAAGAGTCCGAGATCCCGAGGCTGTGGAACCGATGAAGCTCTACATGGAAGAGACCACCAAGGAGGAGAAGATGACCCGGATGGCAATTCTACAGAGGGAAGTTGATCGGCTCCGAGCCGACTTGGAAAATGTGTAGATCAAGTGGATGCAAAAGTACCTGAAAAGACCTCAGCACTGCCTGACCAAACATGTCCTGAAAAGTTGTCACTATTGAAGTGGAACTGGCAAAGCTGAAGTCTATCTGGAAAAAGTCCAATGCCGGCATCAACCAACCATCTTGGGGACTGGACCTCTTGGAAGTTTATTGTTCTCCAGATTCAGAGATCACTCGGCAAGCTGTCCGTCTTGGTCTCAAAGTCAAGAGGTTCACTCGTCAAGATGGAGATCTTTCGACACCTAGAGGACCTATAGAAGTTTGGGTGGCCCCCGACTGCAAACACTGGGGAATTTTCAGCCGAAGAAACCTGGGCCGAAGCATCAGCAGCGCAAACAAGGTACCAACAGGTAGGGAAAATGAAAAAGTCCATTTGCGTTTGTGTAATGATGTCTATTGGTTTCAAATGGTAAACGGAGGTCATTTTCATCTGGAACAACCCCAAGGTTCTGAGGCTATCCTGCAGCCGGAAGTAAGGGATATCTATCATGGGACTCTTTGTACCACTTTTGATATGTGTGAGGTTGGGAAACTGTTGGCCCCAAAAGTGATGCAAAGAACCCGGGGAAATAATTACCTCCGAAAAAGGACAACGGTATACACTTCCTCCAAGGTCTTCCATGAAGCGTTTGATCACCGGTATTGTCCAGGAAACCACCAGCATGTTCCCATAGCTGGCAAAGTGTTCCATCTTGGAAAATGGATCTCAGTTTCAGAGTATGCTGCTCGATATTCTTCAGGTTTTGGTCGAAATGTTGCCCGGTATTTGTATTGTGGTGTTGCTCATGTTCCTTTGATGTGGGATGAGATGGAAGCCTCCCCTGAAGTAACCAAGGATTTTGTAGGAGAAGTCATATCTCAGAAACGAGATGCTGCAGCTCTCGTTCCGACGCCGGATAGTCATGGACCCGATTGGAAAAGGGATCGGCATGCATATAAACAGCCTCCAATTGGTCAGCATGGCTGTGCATCAAGTGAGTTTTGGGATGGAATCTTCAAAAATGCTGAAAAGGAAGTACCCAGGGTTGGAAAAATGATTTTGAGGATGGGGAGTTGGTTGATAGCATTCAAAGGGGCATTCCCGGTTTCAAAGTAAGAAGGGTAGAGTTCTGGCGGGGTACTGAACGGTTGATGATTCCAGAAAAGGGAACCGACCCCGAAATGATTCCACTGAGACTCACGGTGGTCAAAAATCGCAAGCGGGCGCGTCGGAAGTGCTCGGTCCGGCTGAGGAATGGTGCAACTTGACCAAAGGTCAACAAATTCGAAAGAGCCTGCCTGCCCGTATCAGCCTTACCATTTTTGTGTCAAAAGAAGAATTCGGGTCTCCCAAGGAAAATGTAGAGGGTATTCCTGCGGGTGATACTGGGGAGGTTGATGTTGAGATGGAGATTCAAGGACATGGGCCCCCAAAATGTGTGGCTAGGCATGGACCAGGGTTTCTCAACCTAAATGGTGAAGAGAGAAGCTAGTTCTTTTCGTCTTCATCACAACCTGGGACATCCGCTTCCCAACAAATTTGCAAACTTCTTGAAGAAGCGGCATGCGGATCCCAGCCTAGCCCAAGGGGCTCTGGATTTTCAATGTGACAGTTGCGCAGAATCTTCCAAGGGTTTTGACTCCAGTCGACCAGGAGTAATCCACGAAAATTTGGGATTTAATCAAGTTGCTGGGATGGACACTGCCACATGGACCAGCCAAGCGGGGAAGCAATTTCATTTTACCCATATTATTGACGAGGGGACTTTATTTCATGTTGGGGCTCCTGTAGATAGTGGGGATGCTGAGAGTCAAATCAAGATTTTTGAACGTATTTGGTTGCTCTGGGCTGGTCCACCTCAAAGTATCTATTTGAAATACCTCCGAAGTTTGGAAAGACAAAATGCAATCTTTGGACATTCATACCAAACTTACAGCCACGGATGCCCATTGGCAACTTGGAAGAGCAGAGATTCATGGAGCCATTGTCAAACGAATGTTGGATCGTATGGATCTGGAGAGTCCCATTAGAAATATGGATGGTTTTGAGGCTGCATTGACCCAGGCGTTTAATGCAAAGAATGGTCTGTCTAGGGTAAATGGGTATTCACCAGAACAAGCCGTGCTCGGTATCTCTAAGCGTCTTCCAGCGTCAATTGTTTCTAGCCAAGAACAGTATGACCATGGCAAATGACGAAGGGTCAGAAAGTGACCGTTTCAGAGAGCATCTGGCACGAAGATGCAGTGCTCGCAAAGCCTTTGTCGAAGCCGATAATTCATCCAGTTTGCGTCGAGCCTTGCTTCGGATGTCCAGACCTGTTCGGGGTCCTTTTGAGATTGGGGGTTGGGTGCTGTATTGGCGCCGAAAAGGGGCAAATCTCAGGAGGGCACGGGGACGTTGGTAGCGTCCTGCAAGTGTAGTTGCTGTAGAAGGAGCCCAAAATGTCTGGCTCAATCACTGTGGAAAACTGGTCAGGGCAAGTCCTGAACAATTGCGTCCGGCGAGTTTTCGGGGCGACACGTCGAAATCCCAAGCGTTCCCTAACTCCCTCAAAAATGGTGTCTTTATTGATTTGGATAGTGGGGAAATACTTGATGGGGATGAGAGTAGTGGGTATACCCGGTCATTGATGGAACCTGATGGAGAACTTTCGGTTGATGTTGATGGGGGTCATGAAGGGGATGAACATGGGATGGAAGAAAATGGGGAACAATTTAATGGTTGGAAGGTCCCAGTTCCTGCGTCACCGTTTGAGTCCGAGGAAGAACATGATATCCCTGAAGAAAACATTGGAGGAGATGGTGGGGGTGAGCAAGAAGGGGAAGATTTGTTGTTTGGTGATGATGTTGTTTGTAGTGTTGAAACTGGGGATGATGTCTGGGAAATAGATATTTCTGTGGACTCAAAAGAGGAATCTGCTTTGTTCAGTGCATCAAGTTCCGATGAGAGTGTGCTGCTGGTTTCCGATGCGAAGAAACGCAAGGTTGAGGTGCGGCTGAGTTCCCTAAGTAGCAATGATCAACTTAGAATGGCAGTTGCCAAACACGAAATCGGAGCATGGCTCAAACACTCCACAGTTCGCCAAGTGGCGAGGGGGAAAATCCCTGATGATGCCATAATGCGATGTAGATGGATTCTGACCTGGAAAGCTGCCTCACCAAGTGACCATCCTGATGATGTTAGAGATGGAAAGAAGGGGAAGGCAAGGTTGGTTGTTGTTGGTTTTGAGGACCCTGGTGTTGGTGTTGTGCAAAATGATTCTCCTACCTTAACAAAGATTGTCGACAAATGGTGGTTCAACAAGTGAGCAGCAGGGGGTGGGATCTTGTATCCTTTGACATCTCTACAGCGTTCCTACATGGGGATGGGGATGGTCGTCTTTTAGGGATACATCCTCCACCGGAATTGGCTGAGTCCCTAGGCATGAAAGAGGGTGATCAATGTGAGCTGGTAGGCGGGGCATATGCCCGTGTTGATGCACCATACTTGTGGTTTCGCACGTCTCGCAATACCTTGAAAGCTGAGGGATTCCGCCAATCTCCACAAGATCCCTGTGTGTTTACCTTGGTGTCTGAAGACAAAAAGGGTCATCTACAAGTACATGGATCACTTGGAATCCATGTAGATGATGGCATCGGCGGAGGAGACTAGAAGATCTATGAAGCAATTGAGCGTATCCGGACCAAGGTTGCGTTTGGCTCTTTTGAAGAGGGTGCTTTCAACTTCACGGGGATAGGGTTTCGTCAATGGGATGACAAAAGTGTGGAGTATGATCAAATTGAATACGTCGACAAGAAATCCCCCATTGAAATTAAGAAGTGTCGAAGGTCCCAAGTAAATAGTCGTTTGAACCCAGAAGAGGTCACCCAGCTGCGTAGCCTTGTTGGGGCTCTTCAGTACGCAGCGGTCCATACGCGTCCGGACATCGCCGCAAAAGTCGGTGAACTACAAGCCAGTGTCCCTCGCGCCACTGTGGAAAATTTGATTTTGGCAAACCGACTCCTTCATGAAGCCAAGAGCAATCCAGTGACTTTGATGACTGTTCCTATCAGTGTTGATCGTCTGTCTTTTTGTGCTTTTTCTGACTTCTTTTCTATCTGGTAAGGAAAAGTTTGCTCACCAAGGACGTTTGGTTTTTGCAATGACTCCTGAACTGTTGAAGAACAAGAAATCAGAGGTGGCTCCGGTGGCTTGGGTTTCAAAGAAAATACATAGAGTGACTCGCAGCACGTTAGGTGCTGAAGCAATAGCACTGAGTGGAGCGGTGGACCGACTCCTGTGGATTAGGTTGCTCTGGGAATGGATTAATAATCCAGCAATAGATTGGGGGTCTCCCGAAGAGGCTCTACAGAAAGCAAGGAAGGCCGCATTGGTGACTGATTGCAAAAGCGCTTCTGACATCCTGACCAGAGCAGCAATCCCGCAGTGTGAAGAACACAGGACGACCGTCGAGCGTCTCTTAAATTCCAGGCCAATTGCATGGTACGATGGGTGACGTCGAATGCCCAATTAGCCGATTGTTTGACAAAAAGCACGGATGCTTCAGCTCTCCGTCAATGTCTACGCTCTGGAAGGTATTCGTTGTTTGATGAGGGTAGAATCCTTCAACAGAGGTCTGACAAGAAACAAAGGCTGAAATGGGCAAAAGAAGTCACAGCATCACCAGTTTTGTTGTCTAGTTCTGACTGTCAGGACTTTTGGGAAACTGACTCCAAAGGTCAGGTCATCCGAGTACACAGAACTCCCCGAAATAAGTTGTTTTCTCCCATTGGGGTTCAGGACTGTCCTGTTGATTTGCGGTTGTTGAATTTGGAGAGAGTGACGGAGGGCCGTACAACTACTGGGGAAGGATCTGTGAAAAGGATTTTTGGCCTGGCACACGTGGTCACTTTAACCTTGGCTGCATGTGGAAGAACAAGTTTCAGAATTCGGGGAGTGTGAAACTTCCACAGTTTGTGCCCACACTTACATTCAGGTCTTCCAATCAACTGCCAGGGAAACG